ACAATGGAATACCAAGGCGGAACATGAGAAGCTTAAATTATATGAATTGACACGCCTCAATCCAGAGTGAATCTGCTTTATTGCACAATAGCGCTTGATAAGACGAAAGAGAACAAAATTCAATTTCTTTTAAGATCAAAAGAAGAAATAAACCTTAAATGAGATACTCTAACCAAATTGAATTTCAAGATTGCATGATAGCTGTTTCACATATAAACCATCTCATTTTGAAGGGAGAGAGACCGTAAATTGAACCTTGAGATGATGTGGTTTATAGAAACTCTATAGGATTCATAAAGAAGTTTACAAGAAACTACCTTCAAGAAACATTTCTTTAATAAGAAAATGGGATTTAACACACTTCTCTCACAAAAAACGGAGTTTAAAATTGAGAGCAATTTAGAAATAAAGGGAAAGAAAAAATTGGCAGATAAAACCACCACTCTTAACATCTGCCGATTTAAATTTTAAATCATTTCCAAGAATAAAAACAAAGAACATCAATAAAACGCCTCATATTTACTCATGGAATTCAAAACTAATTTAATGAAGACAATTTGATAGTAAAAAAAAAAAAAAAAAAAAAAGACTAGGAGAAGGAAAATAACCTTCATCATGTTCAATAGCATGCCTGTGAGGCAAATAGGAGCTCATATCCTCATATAAGTTATTATCTGACACAGAGGTACCCCCAGAGTTATCTTCTTGGATATTTCTACCCAATATAGAAGCATGAGCAGCATGGTTTGCATCAATTGGGTCAACGGAACCACCTTCAACCACCTGAACCTTGTCTTGATGTATATGCTGACTAGCAGCATCCAATGATACGTTGGCTGGATTTGAATGCAACTCCAAGACTGCAGGCGACTCTATGGTACTAGAGATACTAACAGGTTGAGGAGGCTCAATTGAGGGCCATTCATCATCGAGTGATGTCTGCTGACTCACAATACCTGGTCCAGAGTGAACTTCTGAAACTGTGGAAGCCTGATGCTGTGCTGAATGAAAATTCTGGTGTGATGGCGCAGACTGAAATGGTATACTGTTAAGAGAACTAGCACCTTGAAGGGAAGTGTTTTGCACTGAGGAACTCTTTCCCTGAGGTTTTCCCATCTTGACAATGTCAGCCATCGATACTTGGCCTTGAGCACCCATCCAGGTAGATTGATAGCCAAAAGTGGACTGTGAGGATGAGATTGCTCCATCTCCTACACCTAATCCTGCTAACTTATTTTCTGTAGCCGCATTGTTGCTGTAATAGTGATTAAGGGTATATAAGACCAGTTTCGGTTCATCTAAGATATTCTTTAAAACCAAATATATAATCCAACAATGCACAAAAGTTTCAACTGGGGTAAATAGATCTTGTATAGTTTTAGCACCCAAACAAGCATAAATGCATACACCTCTCATGTTTGTAAGTAAATTGTTAAATAACATTTTTATAATTGTTAAATAATATTTTTAATTGAAAATTATGAAAAATCATCCTGTGCCAGTCATCATTTTATTTATTTCCACATCATACCTGAAAATAGATAACACAAAACAAATAAAATTTCATTTCCATAAAAACCTAGCATAAGAGATAGGTTTTACAAGCCTGGAATTATGTAATTTGGGTTTATTTAGCAAATATACTGATGAAATTGCACCTTGGGCTAAGTAATCTTAACTATGAAAACTCACCTATTTAATCCTAAGTTACACAGGCCCACAAGCCTAACTCGTAATTCAAACATCTTCCAAAAAATGCTTAGAGATCTTTAGAAACATGCCCTTTACGCAGGGGTGGGAAAAACAAAAACTATCTAAAAAAGAAACTGGATCCACTATACAATATAAACCTTGTTATGATGATTGAAGGAAACATGTCCAGAACGTAACAATTTCTATTGTGACTGCTAAAACTATCCAAAAGTCAGAAACCTAAATACTTAAAACATGAGTCACCAACCCAAAGAGGGCCAGAATTCATACCCATTTGGGAGTCTTCAGCCTAAGGCCTAAAAATAATCTACATTTAGTCGCATCAAGAAGGACAATAAATGCTCACTTACTATTTTGGGACAGATATCATATTTCATGAGTTGCTAGTAGCCTGCATTTAGCATACAGCAATGTAATACTTTTTCCTTTTCTTTGTAGACTGAAATTCAGACACAAAATTCAAACTTATTTCCTATTAGTCTACATTAAGCGTTGCATATGAAAAAACATGGTGAAGTACGAGAAATGAAGAAAGTAAAAAATCCAGCAAAGGGCTACTACAGATCCCTTCACTGATTTGAAACTAATTGTATACTTGTTTGAAACATAACAAGCAAAGAGTCCATCTATCTATGAATAACGTTCAACTATGGTATTGCATTGCACAGTACTCAGTAATTCACCATTGACAAATTAAACACAAGCTCATAACGTTTAACCTGTGAGATGGAAATTGGTAGTATGAGTGGCTTCCAGATTGTCCAGATGCAGAAGACGAACCAGCATGATCTCCAATTTCTTTTTTGTACACAGGTTTACTGTGCAACACACCAGTTTCTAGAAAAACAATGAAATTTGGTCAACCTTGAGTGAAAAATATGTGAAGTTTAATCTCCATAGCATCATATCACTCACATACCACGACCGGCATAACGATCTGTACTGCCCTTATTCATACGGTTGGGAGGGATGCTAGGACCACGAGATCTGGAATCAATTGGATCCTTATTCTGAAGAGGCAAGGGAAAGAGAAATGGGGTAAACAGTCGAGAAAACGATCAGAGGATGATTATATTTTGAACAAGACAATTTAGTGACTAGAGCCAGCTAAACCAACAAAAAATGCAATGATGGACGACATGATAAAAACTTTTAGAACAAACATCTGAAATCCTCTCACATACGCACCTCTTTTTTCTTTTCTCGTTTGCTCTTCACCTCATGAAAAGGGTCTACACAGCGATAGAATAAAATTAATATAATCTTCGAGCCTTCAGAGTCCCACAGAATGTGACTCTAACACATCACACAACCAAAAATGTCCTAGCAGATAATTCATTCTATAACATGTATTTAATATCTCCAACGGCATAAATGGCTCTAATGGGTAATAGAAGAACGAACACAGAAGTTAGCAAGGTTTAAAACAACAAAAACATGAACCATCAAGCACGATGTATAAAGGACAAGGTAGGACACAAGGTGAAACGTTTCCCAGGCTTGACGACAGCGGTGCTAAAACGGAACTACCTAGTAAACTAGGTATTCTTTCTAGTCCCACTTGACCAACGATTGCAGTAAAAAATAAAACCTTCAACTTTAAAACTGAAAACAAAAAAGAAGGTGAAAAAACTCCGCAACGATCGATGACAAAGTTAGGCGACTAGTAAGTCATTAAATAGAACATCTATATAATGAAGTACGAGCTTTGGTTTAACGACCTAGGGTTCTTGCAGCAAAACCCAGCAGCTAAAACAAAAGAACGATTAACCTTCTCGACTCAAGAAAAAAAGAGAAAGCCATCGACATGGAATTAGAAAACAGACCTTGCGTGAGAAGACGATTAACGGCTTCATCAGGATCCATATTACATTCCCTTAGGGTAGCGTAGATCTCCTGGTCGGTACAGTTACCTACAATCTCTTTTAAGCTCTGGACCATCTTCCGCCACTCTGCCGGAATTCCAGACGTTCCATTGGTGCTTTTGCCTCCTCCTTTAGCACCCATACTGTTTGACTATGTTTTGGATACCTCTCTCCCTCGCCGGCCGGAGGTTCAGATCTGAGAAGCGTTTCAAAAGGGCTGCTCTTAGTCCGTCTCCCGCTAGGGTTCCGCCGTGTCAATAAGAAGATATGTTTGTCAAAGCACTGTATACGACTCTCTTTCTCTATCTCTCTCGACTCTCGTTCTGCTTTTTGTTACGCATCGAAAACCCTTTCCCTCTCACTATTCTCTTTTTCTCTCTCTTCAAATAAATAAAATTAAAATATTATTTTCATCTCTATATAATTTCTATTACTCATTAATACTTTTAGGCAATAAAAATAAACATATTTGAAATATTTATCATATAATAAAGATTAATAGTCGAAATATTTTAAAGACAAAATTAACATTAAAAGTAGATGTTTAGAAATACAAATATTCAAATGAAAACCAAAAATGGTATTTTTTTTCTCTCTCTTTCCTTTTTTGGAACATAAATAAATGTAAAATTAAGTCGAAACAAAAATCCAATCAAGTAGAAACAAAAATCCATTTTGAGATTAGAATAATTGATATTTAACATAAAAATATAATTATATAATTACGAAAAAGTTATATAATTACAATAATTATTATTATTAATTAACGGTAATACAATACAATCCACTCAATTGGAAGTAAACTTAAACGGCAAATTAATGGTCATATTCAGTTTTTTTCTTTGAGGCTAAACATCATTGCTGACAGAGCAAAATCTGACACTAACAATTAAACAATTTATTTATAAAACAAAAAAAAAAAACTGTCTTTTATTATTGGAGGAAAAAATATTTAAGACTTTAAAAATATAAAAATAAGTAATTGGATGATTAATCCGAATAATTCAAAATGAAATTTATTTTTAAAAAAATATTCTAGTGACGGAGTCCTCCGTTGGGCCGTTGAATTGAGGCTGAAATTCAAAACTCGGGCCTTTCTGGGCCACGTTATTTACTGGACCTTTCTTTCAATATTTGAACTCTTAACACTAGTAAAATATCGACATCAACTCCATATAATTCGACATGTCGACCCTGAATTACCAAGATTTCTATGCTTTACAGTATAAAGCCATCATGAGGAAGAGGAGAGGATAATTTCAACAGAGGCTGTTGGTTTACATAGCCAAACAAGCTAACATTAAGCAAAAAATAAATGTATAAAAACAGGACAACAAGATGAAAGATATTTGCAATCTCTTGTATATTGCTGCAGCTTACAGTGATTGAACTTTCAATAAATCCACAGAAAATGCAGTTCAGTTCATCCATCAAAATTAGCATTTCAACATTAGAATGATTGTAAAAGGTCTAACAAGTTACATTTTTTCATCGAGCCTTTTCGACACAAGGAAGCAATACATACAAATGGCTTAATCTATCACATTAAAGAAAAACTAGGAAGCTTTCTAGGTTCTGAGAGGAAGAGAACGTTATTACAAAGTGAGCCGTGGCAACGGGATACTACACTAATTCCTAAAGATCGTTGATAACAATTACTACAATGGATTGAGATTCAGAAGATTAGAGAATCAAGAGAACTTCCTTTCAAGTATTCTGAGGAAGGAAAGGATTATGGACATACCTAGCATTTTCCCATATGAAGAAATTTAGAACTGCCCTTCAAAAGACCTGCAGAGAAACCAGAAAACTTCATATAGCATAAAAGACAGCGATCATTATCTATCAATATGCTAAATCATGCAATCCAAAGAAATCAAGAAATATCTCTTCTCTTCATAGAAGCGAAGCATAGGTATCAAAAACATCCCTTCAGCTGGAACACCATTTTCCTGAAATAGCAATAGAAAGTTATAAGCAGGTACTTCTTTCCCATCGGGACATCTGCACCAAGATTAGCTGTGTCACACTGGAAATAGCAGCTAATACACAATGGTCGTATAGAGAAATTTTCCTCTTGAATTTAACTTGGGACACCTAAAATCTTGGCAATATTTTCTTCCAGTCTTTCTGAAAGAAATTTTACTAAACTAAAACAGCATTGCAGATAAAATATGAATAATAAACATGGCATGTTAATAGATGTTTGCATCATGCATAAATATAATATACTATGGAAAAATAGGCACCATCCTCTTCAACACCAGCGCTTCTTGTTTCTCCTTTTTTCTTCTCTTTTTTTTTTTTTTTTTTTTTTTTTT